TTACTGCTGCACAGTAAGTATGTGCTCGTCTGCCTGCCTGTGAGCATTGTTACATTGAGCAGTGATTTGCACCCTTAACTGTTCTATGGGATAAAAACATAGATTCTCCAAATGGTAATGCAAAGAAGAGGGTGAGGAGGGTCATGACACTAGCTGAGAAGTTATAGCGGTCAATGGCCGAGAGTAGAAAGGTAACAAATTTGAGTGAGGATGAGATTTGTGCTAGTGTCAAGGTCTCTTCACCTTGAAGTGCTAAAGTGTCACAAGTACCCAAGAGAAATCTTAACCTTCAAAAGATGGAAAAGGTTTTGGTAATACAGATTAGCAGTAATGTGTGTACCTCTCAATACAGTGTCCCAGGTAGGGTCAGATGTGACCCTACCAAACATTGCAAGTTCCTCTAGGTACAGTACTGTACAGTACTCTGGTTATCTCCTGTGCTGACCTTGGACTCTTAAGGTCATAACTTTGAACAGGTTGACTGCCTGAATTGCAAGTAAGCTGAGAAGCAGTGTAAATTATGTACTGTACTAAAAAATTTCAGTATGCAAATCAAATTTATGCATTGCTTGACCCAGCTGCTCTCCTCCATTCTCCCCACATGCCTGAACCATCTTAGTCTGTCACTCTCTAAATATGGAGGGAAAGATAACTAGGAGCAGGCTAAGGGTGACATGAGAAGTTGTAAGAAATGACATCAGAGCCAAGAACCTGATAAGAAAGGTGCAAGAGACTACACACCATGGAGAGCTGCCATTAGGTAATCACAGCTAACCATGTAACCTTGGAAATGGCCATAAAATGTTGTTGATGATGATGCTGTTGAGTTTCCAGCACTGAAAGGCATTAACATCTTGCAGTTTACCATTGCACCTTTTGTGTACCCACCTTTCACACTCACTGCACATTACTGACTTGCTACGAACACCTTTCTTACAGACAGTACATGGCCATTTTCCGCTTTCTATCACAGGTCCCTCACCCATGCCACTAATCAATATTTTTTCACCACATTCTCTCCTATACCCTTTGACTCCATTCCATTCTTCCATTTCTAAAATTTTTCTACTTTCAGTTGAACTAGGTGGTTGTCGAGGTGCCCAAATTCTGAACAAACTTGTCTAAAATTACCGATTAAATACCTGTAATAACATGAAAATTTTTAATTATGGGGAAATCAGTGTAATGTGGTAATATTTTACATACAGTATTATAAAATAGAAATACTAACAAGTGATCGCGGGCCCTTCGTGCTCTTGTGAAAGTTTTAATGCTCGTGACCGTACAGCGAATGAAGGTGCGCCAAGTCTGTAGACTTGCATGGTTAATTAGGGTGCGTCAAGTCCGTAGACTTGCATCGTTTTCAATCGTAAATAAAATTGTTAATTAATGCCTTCCTAAAGAAACCATCGACATGGGACCAGGTTTGTTCCACTCTACGAATTTTTTGCGATTTTTCCACCAAGTTTGATGAAAAACGATTGTGCCGTTTCAGCTGCCCAGAACAGACACACACACAAACAGACAGACACATGCCTGGTCCTATAGTATATTAGATTATTGGGTAGTCTAAGTAAAGTTGCAACATTTTACTGATTATACATTTATTCTTACTTAAGTTTTAATATATTCATATGCTTACAGTGGCCATGGCACTTCTTGCCCTGAAAGGCTCTCAAAGTAATACCACATTCTCCACTGGCGGATTTAAGGGAGTTTTTGGTGGGGTGGCCGAACCCTCCTTTGAAACAGAAAAAGCAATTTAGAGCCCCTACACTTCTCAGTTGCACTTCTATAAATATAGTTACAGTAAAACCTCGAATAACCGACCCTCGATTAACCGACTTTCGAATTAACCGTCAATCCCGAACCCCCTTTTTTTTATGGGGATTAGCCCACCCTGGCACAGGTCACTGACCCACATTGGGGCCTGGGGGGGGGGGCGATAATGTAATAATAATAATAATAATAATAATAATAATAATAATAATAATAATAAAGAACCATCAAGAAATGCAAAAATGAAAAAAAAATCAAGTGAGAAACAATGTACCTGTATGTATGTTGTGTTGTCAATAGTAAGAGAAACAATTGTGTGTAAATGAGGCAGAAAGTCAGATCAGCATCCTGGGACTGGTAACAATTTTTGTGATGACATATGTTCTTTGACTTTTCCACTTTTTATTCACGGTTTATGTGCTGGTTCATATTTATTTACGAAAGTGGTTAATGTTTTAAAGCAAATTCTATTTAAATATGAATGGCAAATAAACAAAAATGAATAGAGGGACTTAAATGAGGTAGGTTAGGGAAAGGTATTTTGAAAATGTATGTTTTATTTCCGTAGACTTTATGTACTATTAACCGACCTTTTGGATTGTCCGTCGGCCCCTTCCCCCCATATGTGGTCGGTTAATCGAGGTTTTACTGTATTCATAAACAACATTTGAAAATTTTCCGCTCTTTAATGAAAACATTATTGTTATTAAAGGCATTTGAAATACAATGCTTTATTTACTAGGAAATATATACAGTATACAGTATCATTTATGATAAGGCACCCTCTCCTGATTGGTGTACAACAGAGAATTTTGGATGTTAATTTATATGCATTATTTTTGGTTCCCTACTGTGAACATTCTAAAGTTTGCTTGGTAAAGATGATGCTAAGATTTGCTTGGCAGCAACAGTATTTTTTTATCTGGTACAGTGTGTTTACAGTATGTGTACAGTATGGGTCCTGTACTTTTAAGCTTCAACATGCTATTGGCAGGTCTAAACCATTATGTACTGGGTACTAAATATTACAGTGAAACCATCTAGTGATGCCAAATGAACATACTGAAATCTCTTAACTATCAGCTTGGCAGTATCTTTGATACCTTAAATGAAATATCTGATGATATTTCCCATACAGGATCATCTGGCAATTCTTCTCGGGTTAAGGCACAAGGTCTTGCAATAAAATTTCAGATTTTAAGTTATATGGTTTCCCCTCATTGTTTAGTGTACAGTTTGAGATTAATAAAGTGAATAAAAAAAATCAGGAAAGATTTTGAGGTACAGAATACTACATGATATAGGGGAACAATGCGAAGTTGGTAATGTTTTTCCTGGTGTTAATTTTTCCTTGAATTAGTAATTTAAAGGTATTCCACCATGTCTCATCATCGTTTTCATTCACATTCACCTGATATCAAACTCATCCCTCATTTTGCAGTAAAAATTTTTGTTGTAAAAGAACTTTATGGAATGCTCCTCACGAAGATAATAAGTGGCTACAAACCTCTGAATCAATATTTTTTCCTAGGAAGCCAAACGTGTATGATGTGTGCATATAATTAACCCTCACACACAGGAGACATAATTTGGTCATTGCACACATGCATAAAGAGCCAGAGCATGCTAAAGATTGGGAGATTAGGATTTGTTATATTATGTCTGATTGGTCCTTCTCTGTTATGTGAGTTGGTTAGTTTGTAACAGTTTATACATACATTAGTCTGGCTAAAATTAATTGAGAGGCAAACAATTAAGAGTTGATGGCCACAACTTACATGGAGTCATTGATGATAAACATATCTCAATTATTGAAGTGCAGAAAATCTACTGGGCAGAACATCTCAAGTTCTCAACATTAGTGATGAAGAAAGTTTGATTATAAAACTGTTCGAAAAATTTTAATCTTTGACAATAAATCAATATATACTAGGCAAGCAACAGGGAAGTATGCAAGATGTGCTTAAGGGTTGGGGGAGGATGAAATGCACAAAACGGTGTATAATTTTAAAATTGTAATAATTATAGAAGCTACATATAAAGGCTAAGCGTATCCTAGTCACGTCAGCTGCTGTAAACTTAATGCATAATTTAAAACGTAAATAAAATATTGTGCACCAGCAAATTCTTATATAAGCGAGTATACTTTAATCCGGGACGATCCTGGGAGACCTGTGGGGTATGGGTTGTTTGGTTCACACTCAGGATGGGATGGAGAAAGGAAACTCACAATGTGCTCTCTGTATACATGTTGTATTGGATGTACAATGCAGCTTGGTGCTGGGAAGTGGCAGCGTGGTTACAAGCGTGATGTAGAGAGAGCTGGTTGGTGAGGATGCTCAGAGGAGGACAGCTTGTGGGTCGCCATGCTCGCCGGCTGGAGCGAGGGCAGCCAGGCAGCGGCGGAGGAGGTGGTGTTGCTTGCTGCGGCTGTTGCTAGAAGAAGAGTGAGGTCACCACGAGGTCAGGTCTTAAATAGCGGAGGTAGGCGTGGCTTAGTAGTTGACCTCCGTCATGTAAGGCGGCGCTGGTTGACCTAGACCACGAGGCATACACTGGGGAATTCGCGGGATCGGCTACTCAGCGACAAACAGGGTTTGTAGAGGAGAAATCCACTACAGACCCTTTAATCACATACGTAATTTTTTTATAGATATAAATGTGATAATTAACTTACAGTTCCGGTTAATTTAGAACAGCTTTAATGATAGGCTATGACAGACACGGGGCAAGTCACTCGGACCCGGTTTACCAAACGCTCATATAACAAGTGCGAAAATTACATAATTATGACAAATACAACAGGCAGAAGTTGCGCTAGGTCTAACGTAATTAGCTGATTTAGCTTACCTTTAGTTAAAAAATAAAATGTTTGTGAGATCTATCCGTTTTCAAACTGTCTCTTCTCTATCGAGTAGTTACCCCCAGTGTCGTATAAAGAATATGGAACTGGAATACAGAAAACGTTCTCGTGCCATTCATGAACCGTCTGATGCTGCCAGAGGAGCCTCGAGCCGTAATGTTCCAACAATATAATTTGGATATTTACATTTAACCTTAAATATCCTTACATGTATCAATTTTAGCTTGACTTTTGTTATAAACCTAATTAATATATACTTAAATAACAAATTGGTGTATCTATACTCGCTCCTTAGTCAAGATTTTTCGTTTTAAAAAACATTTATGACTCGTTTTGAGCTTTGGCTATCAACATCGTCTGCTGACTCGGGAGAAGTATTTAGATCATCTGGTTCTCTCATGTTATACACTCTTTAAATGTTGAGCCGTGGCTTTAAAGACGGCATATATTACACGTTGGCCGCTAGTGAAGTGCATGTAGCTGAAATGAATTACAGAAAAGCTCCCTTATAGCCCTCCTAGTGCGCCAGTTGCCTAATTACAGGCCCAACGAAGGTGAGTAGAGGTGGATGAGGTAGGGAGGCAATTCTGGCAGCTCAGCATCACATGAACCTGTTAAGTGTAACGTGTCTCACTAACACTTATTGATTTCCCTCGTAATTATGACACTTGTTGCAGTTTTATTTCCAGTACGGTAATGTACGCACACAAACACACATTATCTATCTATATGATATATATATATATATATATATGTGTGTGTGTGTGTGTGTGTGTGTGTGTTACCTGGTGGAAATTGCTATTTAAGATAAGCAGTAATAACTATTTTTCTTCGACTATTATAAATTATTGATACGATACTATGTCAATTTCAGTAGCTTAAATCCTGTATGAACAAAAAAATGGATATGACATTACATACAGGCCTCAAAAATGAAATTAACAGTACTTGTGATTTTGTTGTCAGTAACTTTTGGTGATGTGATGTCATACAGGAAGTGACTTGTCTAATGGGTCCCACAGTCCTCCTAGACCCCAGCCTAACCAATAGAATTGATGTCCATTCATACGTTATGTTCCAAACGATATTTAATCGTAATGGACACGTCATGGCAGGTCCCAACTTACCTTTACGATTAGCGCCCAGTCCCAGTAAGCCTTAATCCTTATGATCCATAATTCTAATTAAACAATTTCTTACATTGTTAATGTTTAGGTCGAGGACCCCATTCAGACGGGCCTATTTAAGCCAATATCATTAAGAAAGGGCAATACAGTACTGTGTTTTTTTTTTTTTTATTTGTGTTAGTTTTGCAGTTTTTCACTTAATACAGTTTACTGAATATTGTAATGAAATACTCTATATTTTTTATTAATTTGTCCATATATTTTGTGTGGGGGATTGATACACTGCTGTGTTTTTGAGTATGTTTCATTATTTTGTAATTGTGATATTTATATGTACAGTCAAAAGTCTTGCACACTTGACAGTATTTGGCATGTAAGTACCCGAAGATCTTAGGTATAAGGAGAGTTTTATCCCATTTTGTGGTTCAGGCATAATATATGATGACAAGTAAAGTTATTAGTATATTCCAATCATATATATATATATATATATATATATATATATATATATATATATATATATATATATATATATATATATATATATATATATATATATATATATATATATATATATATATATATATATATATATATATATATATATATATATATATATATATATATAAAACTCAGAAGTAGATGCCAGATATTGCCAAGCGTTCAAGACTTTTGACCCCGACTGTACAGTACTTGGATCAAAATCAATTTGTCCTTACTGAGATACTAAACGACAGTTGTTAGGTAATTGATATAGAGTGAAACCGAAATTTATGTACAGTACAGCTACAGAGAAGAAAATATTGTGTCAAGTGTTCCTGTCTACGTGATTGTGGAGGTTTAGGTTAAGTTTATAGTCATCGGTCAAATTCAACAATGTACAAAATAAATAAATCTTAAATATGTTGTACTTAATACAGTAGGTCCAGTTTTAGATATTGATATGGCACTTGTAAACGGATGCGTGTGTGTACGTACTTTGTTTCAGCATGAAGGAAACTACAGCGGGCCTATTGGCTCATAGTAGGCTGCATCGTTTACGCTTAGCCTATATCAGTCATATGTCTGTCCAATCTACAGTATATTTGAAGTTTCCCATCTAGTTCGAGTTAATGATGGTGTTTGGTATTTTGTTCCTCTCATCCTGAACTCTTATTTCAAAACCAATGTTTACCAATTCCTGCCTAAGTCTAAGTTTGTCTAATCTAAAACCCTTGCTACTAACAGTCAATGAAGCTCTACATTCCATCACATCTTTGCCTTGTGCAATACAAAGTAAAATGCCATATAAAATGTTGTCAGGTAGATCAGTGACAGAATACACTATTTCATTTAACAGGATGCCAGCAGACGAGGGTCCAGGGGCGGGCGTGAGAGAGGTACGGGGAGGAGAGGCTCACTTCTCCACCAAGACCTCTTCCAGGGCCTCCTTAGCCAGTGTGCCCACCCCCACCTCCTGCTATTCCTCATCCAGCTCTTCTGTATCAGAAATCGTGGGTCTTGGGCAACTACGATCAAGTGATTCCTTGTCCTCAGCTGAGTCACACTCCCCTGCCTTCCGCGACCCTGTCGCATCTACAACAGGAGGAACTTGCACCAGCAGCAGCAGCACCTCAGTAGTCCGAATTGAGTTATTGCCACAAGAAAACATTCACCATGTGTCACCTGCCTCGTCACCGACATCCCAGACTTCTATCTACATCCAACACTCCTATGTCCCAGACCACAGTGTATCTACGTCCTCGGACAGAAACTATGGCTGTTCACCCATTGCTGTACTGCAAACCAGCCCTGACTGTACCCCCACAGTGACCATCTCACGCCATGGGCCCACAACCACCTCAGTAGGGTGGCTGAGAGGCTCCCCCACCCCATCTCTAGCTTCGTCTGTGTCCTCATCTGTTGGTCAGTCTTCCACCTCACCCTCACTAGGTGCTTCCTCTCTTGTTGTTTCATCAGTATGTACTTCCTTACCGTCTTCCTCGCTCATGTCATCTCTCCCTCTCTCCATCCCTCCTGTCTCCCTGTCACCGTACCTGTCCCACAGTCACTCTCCAAACACCACCAGGATAGTGAGGACCACTTCTGCTGCCCCCTCCACCCAGCAACCGTCACCAGCATCATTAAGGTCCTCACCAGCGCTACGAATAACAGAGGCATCCAGGTAATACACCACAACCATCCTTTCCTTTGTCTCTAACCCATAATTTAGACAGATTAATGCAATCATAACATAGAATGAAATATCTATTTATTTGCATCAGCCATACAAGATACAGTAAATATATATATATATATATATATATATATATATATATATATATATATATATATATATATATATATATATATATATATATATATATATATATATATATATATATATATATACATTACAACTCAGAAATCAATAAACTTCGTGAACTTGCTGTGTCAGCAAGGAAAATATTAGACATGGGTAACTGCTCATACAGTATAGCTTTACGGTCAGTTAAGCAGGCTCTTCAGTGAGATACCATTTCTTTGACTAATGTTCCTTCTCACAGCACTTTAGACCAGCTGGTGAATTCAAGTAACCGAGTGGCAGGCCTGGGTGAGCAGCGCGGGGTTCGTGTCCACAACCTGGCCCTTACACATCTCGCTTCCAGTGATGCCGTCCCACCCTGCCTCCCTTCGCCACCTCCTTCCTACGACCAGGTCAGAGTGGAATGTTTAACTTCCACTGCCTCTGTGGATGCTAATCACTATCTTCTAGTTGGTCTTGACCATATTTGTTTTAAAAAAATCCAAAATTCTGTAAGATAAAGAATAAGGTATTGTGTATGCATATGTATTATCGTGGACAAAAGTTCGCTCCCTCCAAAACTGAAGCAGTATCGACCCCAAATGAGACAAAACAGCACACCCGCACACAGTCAGGGTAAGTCATTTCGGAGACTCATTCCTGTGACTCAGTTCCACCACAGGGAGCGAACTTTTGTCCACGATAGTACAGTATATAGTTGCATAGTAAGCCTATATTACAACTCGCACTTCAAGTCGAGAATGTTAGAAGTGAGAATCTTATATAAACAGGATTGAAAGGTTTTACTGCTGTAGCTATTAAGCTTCTTTTTTTTATCTTTTATTTAAAATTTTACAATTTACATACAGTATACAGTTTTTAGTTTAGTTTGGTAGTGACTTCGGCACCTCCCACATCAAAAATAAGAGAAGAAATTGAGAGCTTGCAGAAGTTCCACAATAACTCTCTGGTACTGTAACACCATCATCCAGTGATGGTAGGTTCTTAGCGATTCTCTTTCTTCAACACCACATTTATTTGGTAGACACTTTACCAGTTCCTTCTGTACTCCACATTAGTAGGCTCTACAACAAGTCCATTAGTATTACTTCCTTTACTATACAGTACAGTACTAGGTGGTAGATATTTTGAGATATTTTGATTGGCTTTTCTTATTATCTTTCATTATTTTTAGTTTAAAGTATAGTATTCATTCACATACTGTAAGTGGAAATTGATAAGCATTTTTCACGAAGATGATATTAATGGTGTTTGCAAATACATGTACAGTACTGAGTAAAAAGACAATATAAATGTAGCCTATTCATTGTCTCTCATAATTAATTTAAAATTAAACATTAATTTTAATATACTATGTACATTGTACAATCATGACTGCTCAGAAAATTTTAAAAACAAAAAAACCTAATGATTTCTTTCTCATTTTTCACTCATGATTCGAAGATGGCATATGTGATAGAATCACTTATAGTATCATGTGGTTCAACAGCTATGTAACCCCAATGCACTACCAACTTACCAAGAGGCAACCCAAAGCTCCAGCAGCAAGCGTCGTGCAGAGCAGAGGACGGTTTTTACTCTGCCCTCCAATACTGAGTCCACAAACTCTGACCCCCTCCTTCAGGTATGATGTGTTTATGTAACCCAAACTAATTTTAACCTTATCTAATCGTCTCAGTGGGATTACAAAAACAAAACAGTCAATTGTCCAAGTGGGATGACACTCTCTCCTTCAGGTAAGGTTTTCTTTCACCTCTCCTTCAGGTATAGTGATCTCACCTCTCCTTCAGGTATAGTGATCTCACCTCTCCTTCAGGTATAGTGATCTCACCTTTCCTTCAGGAAGTGATCTCACCTCTCCTTCAGGCAGTGATCTCCCCTCTCCTTCGGGAAGTGATATCACCTCTTCTTAAGGTAGAGTTCTTTAGCTTTACTCTGAAGAATGTTCATAGTAATCTCTGTTTAACTTTGGATTTGAAGTAGATCTTGAACTCTCTTGTACTGTTAAACTATCATCTTCTTCCAGGAGAATTATAGATTTTTATAAATAATTTGTGTTAGTTTGGTCATTTTTGTCCTTTGCTGTACCCAAAGAAAGTGTTGGGGGGTACATAGAAATATTATGCTGTAAGCTATCTCTACATCTGTTTAGGCATCTTTTGAACTTGATAACTTGAATGCATAGGGGTCAATTTTAGTAAAAGTGGGCAGAAAGTATTGAAGTGACCCAACAAGATATGATAACAGTGTTTACCGATCCACCATGTATAATGACAATTTTTACACTGATCCAGGAGCAGTGAATACAGTATTCACCTCCTGTTCCAGGGGTCAGTGATTTGATTTCCCAGGTGCTCACAGTTTACCCAGGTGTAAATGGGTATGTAAGCTTACAGCTTGAGGAAGAGAATCCCGTTGATTGCAGTACCTGCCATGCTGCTTCCTTGTGTACCAAAGGCTTAGTATACAGTGTGGTGTATCTACACTGCCCCTAACTGGCAGTCATGCCTATGGGACTCACTTTCACTTTCAGGATACAGTATTTACTTACAACTTATGTCTTCACAGTTTTTACTGACCCAGTACAGTATTTGTGTTAACAACCCTCGTTGACTGGTTTGAGAAATATATTTTTTGGCCTGAAAATGTCCCATTAACTTTCTTTACCCAGCAGGCTTACTAATAAATTTTCTCAACCAGCAGGCGTAATGATATCTTTTCTTACTCAGCAGACATGCTAATAACTTTTTTACCCAGCAGATGTACTAATGATTTTTCATATTCAGCAGACGTATGTGGTGCAGGATGGAGAGCGGGGGCTACGTGGGGGAGTGTTAGCATCGTTGGCAGCAGAGTTAAGTGATTCTGAGGGTGGGTACTCCACCATCCTGGACGCCATCCCACACGAGCATCCCAGAGACCCTTGTGCTACCGTCCCTGTCAGGTGGGTTTTTACTGCTTGTTCATTACCGAAGTGTCCCCTTCACTGGAGTCATATAATTTTTGTTTTGGGAACATTTATAGGAAAGGAATAAGGAGTTTGACAAACTTAATGAGTAAAAGAGTACTCACTTAATGTTGGATGTATGCCTGTTACTTTGGGATGGACAGAGAGGAAAATTTAGAAAGTGAATATTTGTTGGGTGACCAAGGACTTTGCAAACTCTTTGTCTTCATTTGTTTTGTACAGTATTTAAAATGTGAGACAGTGGTGGGGTTGCCACCATGGGCAGCACCTTTATCACCGTTATTCTGGACACATAGGTATTGGCACAAAGAGGACATGGACATTATTACCAGTAGCACTTTCACTTTAGATACTGATGGGGTAGGGTACAGACATGAATTCTTTTCTTCTTTTTTTCTCTTTTATCCTCTTCACCACTGATCGGCTCGTTAGCTGCTTGGGCGATCGGTCACGTCTCGGATTACTTTTCCTTTTCTTTTATCCTCTTCATCAAAAGATTGGCTTTTTAGCTGCTTGGGCGATCGGTCACGTCTCTGTTGGCAAGTACTGGGCATGCACCGTCTCCTGAATGTATCTAAACCCACTCCAGTGTTGGTCAAGTCTTGTCTTGAAAGAGCTCACACTCGGTGCCGTCACAACACTTTCTGGTAGATTGTTCCAAGAGTTCACAACTCTCACTCCGAAAAAGTTTGCCCTCACAGTTTTCTCATAGGTATCTAACCAGACAGAAAAATTTAACTAAAACAACATCAAACACCAAAAACTTATTGAGTCCTACCATTGTGATTTGAAGTATGATTCACCTTGCAGGTTTCTTCACTCATGCTCTCTGCGTCGTCTGCGGCCACCAAAGGTACAACCCCCCTGCCTAACCTCCGTCTGCAACAAGGCCCTAGTCAGGAAGGTGGGTTGTCTGTAAAGAAAAATTACTTTCTGCATGCTGAAAACACTTAAATTTTATTTTAAGAGAGCTAACGGATTTATGTCATAGAAAAGCAGAGTAAATTATTTTGTTTGGTAATAAGAGTAAATCATCTTTACAAAAAAAGTTTAAGTTTACCTACTAAAGTAATAATGTAATTTACTATAAAGTTCATGGAGTGAATGATTTTTCAACATTACAGTTTTTCTTAACCACCTTCATCATTTTGCTAATATGCTTTCAACTTATTCAACAATTTTCCAACACCTTACAAGGCTTTTGGATATTTGCCAAATGTGTTTTTTTATTGTGACAATACTATTTTGGCTTATCTTCAAAATTACCTGAGTACATTACTGTATATACAAATCAGTATTTAATGATAATTGTTTCTTACTTTGAACTAATATTAACTCAAGAAGTTTTAATGTTTTTAAAGTTTAAAATACGTAACTTAAGGTAATACTGCAGTGTTAACTGGGATGAGACATGGCCTTATTTGGGAAAGAATCTGTGTTGTATCATCATTATCATCAATGTTTTATGGCCATTTTCCATACTTACAAGAGGTGTCATCTCAAACTGGGTAATAAGCTTTAACCATGACCTTTAACATTGCTATTCAAGAAACATAGCAACTTAGGGGTTGTCAGGATGAACATACTGTACTGTATATGCTAAGTATGAACAGCTGTGTTCTTTCCATTTTGAGCTGTGTTGTAGACATACTGTACATACCTACTGTACTTACATGATTAATTAGTTACGTTGATCCATACAGGTGACAGTGACTGCCTTGCTGAGGTGACCCGGTCAGCATAAGTATTAATATGCCGTAGACTTATGGAGTTGTCAGATTAATAGATAAACAAGATACTCCAACATGTGTTTTATTTTTTTTTACTGTTTAATAGAATATGGAAAGACATACTGTATTAAGTGCTGTCAGGCTCATTTCACCATCCATACTTAACTTTTTCTCTATACCTCAGGAACTGAATCGTCGGTGGCCCTTCATTGCTGGGGCACTAGAGGTTGATCATTGCCCTGGCCTCATCCTAGTTGAATGTTCTTCCCATCTGACTGTCGCACACCTCCCAGAGCCCTCTCGACAACACGACGGAGGGATAATAGGGGGCCTCACATCTGTGAGTGGTGGTGGTGACATGAGTGGTATCATTGGGGACAATTTTACTGATGTGATGCTTGGCTCCCCTAGTGTCACCACCAATAATGGTTCTACCACCATTGACCTGGACGCCACTGCTCTCACCTCCCAGGTCCTCTTCTATTTGTGTGGCAAGTGCGTAGGTTATGATTCCTTTGATATAGACAATGTTAAGTCCCACATAGAGTACGACTGTCCTGGCTCATACAACCAGTGGGGCAATAATGCTGAGCTCTACCTTGTGTTGCGAGCCGTCCTCTTTGTTGTGATTATTATATTTGTGTTTGTGTGTCTCCCTTATCTCAGACTATAAATTACCAATTCTTATACGTCTGAGCCCAAGGAAACATTTACGGGATAAATACAAGCATCTTGAAATATACATTTATTAGTATAATTATAAACATTATAAAAATACACATCACAGGACATTTACTATTTATCACAGCAAGTTAATAATTTTTTTTTTGCCTTCTAGGATACATCTGCCTTGTGTCACATCATACAGGACATACACTGTGGAGACCTTTTAAAACATATTCAGGGGCACTCTACTGTGGATATTCATTTATGAAGTTCAGAATGAGACAATGGCTGATGTTAGATTAAATTTCTACTATTTAAGTCCCAGACTCACCAAATACATACAGGATTCAAGATGTGCACACATGCTCACACATACATGCAACATATGCACGCAAAGATATGCTAGTATTTTAATGGATGCACCAGAATACAAGCGTTAACAAACAGTATAACTTACAGTACCTTATAGTATATACACATCCTGCCTAAATACACACACTTGTATTTAAAAGATTACATAGAAATTAACTTACACAACTAAAGAAGCAGACAAACTCATGCATTTATATCAGAATAATAAAGGGTCATATTGTGGGTTCAGAGTTGACATATGTTTCTGAATTTTATTTATTTTTTAACTTAGATGTGTAGATACGTGAAGAAGACACTTATATTGTGGCTGTGGGCTTTAAATTCATTGTTCAGCCAACACTGAGAACAGTTTCAAAGATTCAGTTTTTTGAAGGAGATGTTTATACACCTGTTTACTTGGCAGAACTCTGAATATTAGCTCATAGACACAATGTAAATGTCTTCCTTACATACACACACACACACACAGAGGCTCCTAAAACCGTATTGTACCCAGTTTGAACCCCTGATATGACCCCTAGACTTGCTTGTTATAGTCTATGTGCAAAATAAAATAAAAAGGAAAAAAAATATTCTCTTGAACGGAATCCATACACAAGATGCTGTGATCAGTGTTCATTAGGAGTATATCCCTAGATTAAAAGATATATTCTAATTTTTGAGGTACGGTATATCTTTATTCTAAGAGAGGTGGGGAGTACAGGATGTAGCTGTACAGTTTTAATGTTTTATTCACCAATGTTTTGTGAATTTATGAGGTGAAGTGTGACTGTTTTATTCACCAATGTTTTGTGAATTTATGAGGTGAAGGTGACTGTTTTATTCACCAATGTTTAGGGAACTTTTGAAGTGACATTTTTATTCAGCAATGTTTAGGGAACATTTGAGGTGAAGTTTTTATTCATCTATATACAGATATAGGGAACTTGTGAGTTGAAGTTTAACTATTTTATTAAGCATGGAATTAAAATGTGAAGGGTGATTTTTATTCACTAATGTTTAGGGAACTTATGGGGTGAAGTTTGATTTTTATGGAATTTATGAGGTGACTGACATAAGAAAATACTAATATAACTTCTTCCTGTGGTTGTTCCCAAAGGTCAGGGATTGGCTTCCCAAATCTATCTTTACCATGTTCCCCGTCTTCAGCCTCCTCTACTTTCAGCCTGATGTTTTGCATGTCCCTCTCAACCATTTTCCTCCACTTCAACTTTATTCTTCCTCTTGATATCCTCCTTCTGATAATCTTTTCAGGCTCTTTTGATCACCTCCCCCTCATCTCATTGTACCACATGACCAAACCATCTCAGTCTTGCCTCTCTCAACTTATTGTCTCTGTATCTCACCCTTGCTCTAGTTGTACTATTTTCGTTTCTTTACCAGTCCCTGACTTGACACCTCCAGTATTCATTGCAATATTCTCATCTCAGTTTTTATGTAAATGAACTAGAGTAGATGGTTTTAACTGGTTGGAAATTTGATGCTGAATAGACCTTGGAGTCAGTGCTCAAAAACTTTGCAACTCTGAGGAAATTAAATAATTAAATATATATATTCATTGTGGTGCATTATAGTTATTTTGAGTGAACTTTTGTAGTAAAAAATGAAAAATTAAAGGTTCAATACTGTAGTTGCTAATACTGTAATGAAAACAGTGAAGCCTAAATAGCTTAGTACATTTTTTTTTTTAATCCCAAAAAGAAATGTGGAGCCTTATTTTGCAAGAGGAGTACCATAGCAGAATACTGTACATTTGTTAAGGGGTCTTATCAAGTATCCCTAGTTTGCACTTTACTGTATTTGGAACTTATGTGTGTAAGCTTAAAAACCAGTGTCATGCCAGCTTTGAACTTATGAACATTTCAAATTTGTTAGAGAGAACAGGTTTCCTCTTTCTCCCCAATGAACCTGAACTATTGTATATATTTAAGTTCAGGGGTTCGGTGTTGACAGGGCACTAATTCTTAGGGTCAAATCGTGGGCATCATTATGCACATACCTGTACACACTTGTACATACACACAAGTTCCAGACACAATATTGTGCCAACTTTGAGCCCCTGGTATAATCCATAAGGCAGTGTGAATGAGTGACAGTGAATAAAGGAGGAATATTCTACAGTGCTGTACAGTACTAGGAACTGGCATTATTCATACATATCCTTGGCTTAAAAAAAAATTCCCTCAGACTTAATGTTCTTTAAGTTTAATCATGTTTTTCAGGTGTTCATGGCTACTTATAACCTGTATTAAAATAAAAGACAGTATTACATATGAGAACAATAGAAAGTCTTTTGAATTGGTGATCATTGTCTGCAGCTTTGGAGGTTATACAGCAGGAGTTTGTACAATGTCTTCAGTTAGGCCACAAACTTTGTCTTTCGCTCTCCATATAATGTTCATATGAAACGTGACATTCATGCATTTTTTTTAATTGACACAGGGAGAGAAGTATTCAGCTTGCAGTTTTTTTGTCATTGCAAAATAGGAGAAATACAGTTGTAATTAAAATACAGGAATGTTGTCCCAGCAGTAAATGATAGTGTATGTGTGTCTGTTTACCAGCTCCTTTGTGGTAATTGAGTGGGTAGTGTGACAGCCAGCTAAGACAGCAGATATGTATTGTGTGATGTATGACAGACAGGAGGTATGGACTGTGATGTGTGACATACAGGAGATGTGGACTGTGATGTATGACAGACAGGTGTAGACTGTGATGTTCATCAGACAGGAGGTGTGGACTGTGATGTATGACAGACAGGGGTTGTGGACTACGATGTGTGACATACAGGGGGTGTGGACTACGATGTGTGACAACAGGAGGTGTGGACTGTGATGTGTGACAACAGGAGGTGTGGACTGTGATGTGTGACATACAGAAGGTGTGGACTGTGATGTGTGACGACAGGAGGTGTGGACTGTGATGTGTGACAACAGGAGGTGTGGACTGTGGTGTGTGACAACAGGAGGTGTGGACTGTGATGTGTGACATACAGAAGGTGTGGACTGTGATGTGTGACAACAGGAGGTGTGGACTGTGATGTGTGACATACAGAAGGTGTGGACTGTGATGTGTGACAACAGGAGGTGTGGACTGTGATGTGTGACATACAGAAGGTGTGGACTGTGATGTGTGACAACGGGAGGTGTGGACTGTGATGTGTGACATACAGAAGGTGTGGACTGAGCATGTTGTTAGTGTTGATTTTACCAGGATGAGGAATTAGTCTGGTACAGTTACTTTTGCTGCACTTGCAGGTTCATGCACAGACCACTTCATATACTGCCAGCAGCACCTGTACAAAATTCTAATGTTTTTGAGTTACACAGTAGCTGAGGAACTATTATTGAGGTGCCTGTGGTATTTCTTATATTAGACAAAAATGTAGCGGGGAAAACCAGCAGTAGCACCAACTAAAGTTCAGTGACATTCTTTATACCTTGGTGCTTCAATAGCCAAGGTAATTTTCTCAGTAGGATCTTTTTTTCTTTTATTATTATTATTATTATTATTATTATATTATTATTATTATTATTATTATTATTATTATTATTATTATTATTATTATTATTACCGGTATTATTATTATTATTTAAAGTTGGGTTTGTATATCTTAGCAGTAGGGTAGGGCGAGATTAATATTTTTTTATATCCACACAAATAATTTGAACCTTGTGCAGCTTGGGCCAATACTTGATGATACAACTAGACAAACACTGGGTAGACAAAAAATAATCTAATTAATGCTGAAATCAATAGGAAACAGACTGATCCTTGTCGCGGAATAAGAAAATATGGGCCTCTTACATAAAAATATAGGCACTCGGGGGGGAAATAACATACATGTGAATTCATGTTCTGTAGTGATAGTGATCAAGCAAATTCCCTAGAGTTGTTGAGGGCTGGACCATACCAGTGTGTTATGAGATGCTTTACCCCTGAGAGTATTACTACAGTGCATGTTGATCACATCAGATTCGACACTGATATTTTCTGATAGCACACATTCCTTATTCTCGGTTTATAATTATTATAATTATTATTGCTGCATTTATTACAACCAGTGTAGTACATACACAATAAGAGTGATTTACATACTTGGGAGCTAAACTGTGTTTGACTGTTTACTTGTGTTCATGACAATAGAGTTTGTGTATTTAGTCAACTGCTACAGTATGATTTTAACACAGACTGTGGTCCTCATAGATAAGCCAGGGGTATTTAAGCATCTCATGTCATATCCCTGGATAACTACCACACACAACCACTCACGAATATGGCAGGCAATGCTTAAACACCCCAGCTGCCACGACTTTGATATACTGTAGATGTCTATAAGCGGAGTGTGATTCCTGAAATAGACTGGCTCTCTTGTGTTAAAGGGTGAACAATATTTAGGAGGGTCCTCCTGAAATGCAAAATACACAATTCCAGTGACAAGGACAAGAGATATACTGTATGTACATTTACATAATGCTTTCTTTACGTTATGATACTGTACTTTGTATTTGATTAAAATTGGTATCTACAGTACAGTATATGAATATAGTGTGTACTGTAATCTAATGTGCAATGTTTTGTAATCTGAGTTGTAAACCTACGTATTGTGCATGTTACTGATATCCTTGGTTATTAGGTTTTGTCAAGTATTAGTATTTTCCACGTCTTCTTTAGCCTTTTCCAAAGGTTAGGTGCCTACTTCTTCACTCAGTCTCCGTCACGTTCCTGTTTTTAGCCTCCTCCACTCAACCTGATGTTTTGCATGACTCAACTACATCCCTCCGCCGTAAGTTCTGTCTTCCTCTTGATCTCTTGCCTTTGATCAGCTTACTCCAGGCCCTGATTGCCTACCCTTCACTCGTCGAACAACATTAACGATCTAAGACATGATTTTATCACTTCCAGGTATATTGTTTTATGTCATGTTTGTGTATTTGTAAGCTGTTGAATAATTAGATCGCCATTTCATATACAGTATATATATATATTGGAATCTTTTTGTATTTTTATGGGTGTCTTGTTTAGATGATAACATTAGAAACCTTGAACATATTACAATAGAACAAAATGTAATATGGTGCTACTCAGTCACCGTGTTTATTCTTCGTGATCATCTATGCATCAAAGCAAAGTACAGTATCCAGATAAATTAATCATGCAAATTTGTGTTTACCTTTGGGCTTATTCAGGGTAACCTTGTTCCCTGATATCGAGGCTATTATCCCCATTTTCAGTGATCTAAGCCACTGGATGCTGTTTGTCACGAATCTTACTATTTTAAGTAAAGCAACTGCAACAAACATAAATAAAAATATAACTACAGTACATTACAAAGTTTTACAATAAGTAAGTTCTTGGTCATATTTGATTACCTTAAGTAATACACTGCAATTTAAACTTTTAAAGTCTACATTATCGAGGGGAGGCTTGGGGGGCCGACCAAGGAACCTTGGTGCTGACCTTCAGAACCCGGTAGTTTTCTTCGCTGGTGGTGATGCAGGCGGTCATGCCGATTAAACTTTATACTAATTTTGGTTATCAGGTCTAGTATTATTTAACCAATTTGAACATAACAGAAATTTATGAAAATTAAATTTCATTGCTTTTTGGAAATTGTCAATCTCAGAATATTTCACTCCCGTGATTTTTCCCGCTTTACTCCTGTGTTGAATAATGTACTGTACATGTGCCGTTTCGACCAACTGCAGTGAATTTGATGGTGTTGTATGTATTAATTACTGGAATGTCATTTGAAGCTACTTACCATAATTAACAAGTTTCAGTGAGATGGTGGAAATTATTGTGATCGATTCATGCGTGTGTGGAATTAGTTTTTGGAATTATAAGCCAGGTCTTTAATTAAGGCAGAGTATATGTATTTTTGAACGAAATAATTTTACTTTGAGCTGAAAAGGAGCAGATGTGCAACACCGTACTCTTATGGAACTGACGCCTAAATAATTTGGCTAGGCCGCCCTATCACGGAACCATATTGCTTTCCGTCTCCATATTTGCACAAATCGATTTTTATTGTTTTATTTTTAGATAGTCTGAAACGATTTTAATAGGGTATTGGATAACCAGAAGTCCCCAGCTTTACTGTTTGTACACAGTGTAGGTGTAGGTGTTGGAGTGGGTAAGAATCTTCTGTAACCATGATGTAAACATTCCTCGCTGTGGTGACGTCATGACGCTTAAAACCTGAGGGTTGGGTGAAATTATTAGATTTGTAAGGTTATTGTTGATACTTGGCCCCTTGTTCTTATAACTAACCACCGGTCCCTATGTGATCGTTATTATAACAAATACTATTATCCTCATTTTAGGTATGTGAACATTGCCTCTACTGTACATGATTATACACCCTATATATATATATATATATATATATATATATATATATATATATATATATATATATATATATATATATTTATATATATATATATATATATATATATATATACTCCAACATGGTGTACACATACTGTAAGTGATCCAAATGGTTTATTAGGCGAAACAATACATTAGTGTGTTCAGATTTTCAGAGTTAAGATTTGCATGATTGTCAAATCTGCCGACATGTAAGGTGGTGATCAACTTTGTGCAGTATTATTAAATAACTATGAATACAAACGCAATGATTATTTTCCCGCTTGGAGGTGGCATGACGTCATATCCCCCAAGTTACAGCCCCCTCGTGGCCGGGTTTCTTTCTGGTATCTGTGGATTGTGCTGGCCAGTGTGGCGCCTTAGTCTTCTGCCCTGAGCTCTGTCTGTGCTGCTGAGGAGTTGTGGCCGAGGATTGAGCGATTAGTGTGTACAACTCAGGGAGTCAGGGTACGTGTTCGTGTCAGAAGGTGTTGTTTATAAGGATTGCCCCCGCGTTGTGGTTGTTGGGGAGGACACCACGGCTCCAGACAGTGACGTTCATCGGCAGCAGTACCTCAATAGCCGGGTCCAAACCATTCACCTTTATTAAGTTTTTGGTAATGTCTGAGAACAGCACTATCACCATAAGTTGTTCGATTTCATTCATTTTTTTTCCACAAATGTTCTTATCGTTAAGAGGCTACATTTATTAGATCCTAGTAGGTCCTGACCTAACCAACCAAATATACCTATCTAACCTTACCTAACTTCCTAACCGGGGGGCGGACACCTCGCCTTATTAAACAGAAAGTACTTATTTTGATATCTGGTACCGATGGAAGCAACGTTGTTGAAGCGTCATGGTGTAATTTTACGATTTTTTTTTGTGGGCGTGAGAGAACTGTATAGACCTTTTGTGTACACTGGGACCGAGCGCGGTGACTCGGCAGATTTATCAGAGCAGTATTTACGTAATAATTAAAGCTAGGTTTCCATTTACGCGCTTGCGTTTTCAATCGCCACTGAGTGATTGGTATGTACTGCAAACGCATAACGTTAACGCAACCGTGCCAATGGAAACAACTGTGTACATTTCAATGTGATCTATTTTTGCCGCTTTTTTTAATTTAACAAATTTATTGACAAAGCTTGGAGTACAGTTTGCCTATTGTGAGTAATTCAGTCAGGTCTTGACACTGAGGGTGGTATCACTTCTCACTGCCACGCGGGACAGAGGTTCGTACACAAAGAAATACATCATATTCACTAACAGTATATATAGGTCAGAGTCATGTGGGTGATGTCACTGTTCGCTGCCATGCAAGACAGTGGTTCATATACATGGACGTCATATTCTAATTGAAGACTAATTAGTGTGGGCTAGCAAATTTGGGATAAACAACAAGAATGTCCCCAAGCACCCCTGATTCAATGTAGTAATTACAAAGTTCAGGCGCTAATGAGTGAATG